AAATGTCAACAGAATGCCACTTCACAGGTAGAAACTGAATATATGCCTTCCATTCAGGTTTTTAAATTAAATGTAATAATTTTTCACCTGGGGTAAAATAATCTGTTTAGCTATATCCCACTTGTGGTAAATCAGGTTCTTCATCATACTTCAGTAAGTTACAAATTTCAAAATATAATTTAACATCACATTCACATCTTTATCCTGTACTTTCTTTTTCCTATTAGCAACCTTATGAACATTAAAACAAAATGCTGCCACTGTAGAACAAGCCCAAGACATATGAATCAGTGTCCTCTCCAAAGTATTACACTCCTAATATACAGAAATTGAAATCCAACCCATACTATACATCCACTGGTGTATTCTGTAAACACAAAAAAGAATCCTTTCTTGTATTAATTCTACCTTAAGCTCATAGGATATTAACTTAACATTCTTTAAAACTCTAGCAAGCTGGTTTGCTAAAACAGGATTTTTTTCCAAGTTACTTGCAGGTTTCCAAATCTACCCTAATATTATTTTCTGTTCTACATAAAAATGACCTATAGAGTTGGGAATCTACAAAACCTTTTCTATAATATTAATATTTAAGAGTTTGGAATGCTGCTAATGCTTCAGGCCCAAATTATATAGTCAGAAGATGAATATTACTGTTCAAAAGTTTTAGGCAATCCATATATTTTTTCAACACATCAGATGTTTTAAAAGAATAATTAACAATGAACTGATTGAAAGCACTGATGACATTTTGCCCATGAATTTCAGAAGAAGGATTGTTCAGTAATTTTCAGGCTTTAATATGTAATATGAATGTCTCATGAGAGTGAAGTGTTGACTTTTAACCAAAACAGAAACCAAGTCCCTGCCAAGACAGTAAGAGGGTTATATAATAACTTTCTAATTGTGCCCATAATGGTTTTGAGATAAATCAAATTAAATGAAATTAATTAAATTTAATTAAATTCTACCAAGAAACATAGGCCTAAATATACAACTAATGCTATAGCTGAAGTTTAGGAAAGTTGACATCCCTATCTTCATATGAAAATCATAATTTAGATAAAATTTAGAGTTTTATCATTTTCATTCCATAAGAATTTTCTCAGTATTTTATCAATCTCTTTAAAATACTTAGCAGTTATTAACATAAAAATCCCACTAAGAATATCTATCAGTCTTGGAATAACATTTATTTAATTACATTTATTCTTTCCTAAAAGCTGATGTAGATTTTTAATCCTTTATTTGTAGCAATACTAATCAGAGGTAGACAATTAGGAATATTAACCTCTGTCAGTGAAGAAATCTTTCTACAAATAATTATTCCAAAGTACTGAAATGTGTTCAAACAAAATGTAATGCCCTGTTTTTTATAAACATCCACAGAGATCTAGAAACAATAGGAAATATATTAGCCTTTTCCAATTATGAGAATATAACTTGATGATTTAGCTTAGTGTTGTACTATATCCATAAATTTTGTAAAGAGTCTTAATAATTATCAGTAAGACACAGAATAACATTGGCATAGGACAACAATTTAAACTCTACTCTGGCTGATACCCAAAGTATCCTTTGGTTGCCTAATATAAAAGGCTAAAGATCCCAATGTCAAATTCAGTGAAAGAGGAGAAAATGGACAACCTGGATATCTTAATGGTGAAGAAGTAATTCTAGCTGTGATAACCTAAACAACGGGTTGGACTACCACATTTTAATGCAATCGACAAAATTGAAAGGAAAAACATATTTGAGAAAAACATGCTTCAGAAATTTAAGCTGCACAATATCGAAGGCTTCTTCCACTTCCTACGAAATAATCATAGCCATATCCAATTTATCTGATTGTGTATCAAAGATATCCACTAATAATCTAATATTATTCAGGACTTGACACTATTTTATAAAACCAAATTGCTGAGGATGAACTACAGAAGTCAATATAGTTTGAAGTCCTTAGGGCAAAATTGCTGTCAAAATTTTACCATCTATGGTAAAAAAAGAAATTGAATGATAATGTGTATATTCTACAGGATCTTTATCCATTTTCAGACTTACTGGTATAAAAGCATTGTTAAAAGAAAGAGCTTTATACAAAGAGGCATCATTGTAAACCTTCAGCAGCATAGGAATGAGAAAGTCAATAAAATCCTTATATCAGTCTATAGAAAAACCACCAGGACTAGAAGCTTTACTTAATTTCACTGAGTTAAGAGAGAACGGGGCAGCTAAATAAGTTGCTTGATCCTGAGTAATCTTTCGAAGATTGTTTATGTTAAAAAATTATTAATTCATATTCTTTGTCATCCTTGAGGTTTTTTTTACTAACTTTGAGGAAAGTGCTTTCTATATAACGTCAGGGCTACTCGATGAAACTACAGTTTGACCCCTAGGTTTAGAGAATTTGTTGTCAGTGGGCCCTTCTCTGTGTTTGCGGCGAAGCTGATAGTCTTTTTCTTGAGCAACAGATTTTACCTGGCTTCTTTCAGCCAAGGAAGACCCGCTGAGCGAAGTAGGGTGAGTCTTACTAGCAGATAAACAAAATAGGCATGACATGAGATGCCTAAGAATAATATCAAAATGCTCCCAGTGGGAATAGTATAAACTGGCACCAGGTATCAGGGAATACCTGTTAAAAGCACCCCAGACTTTTTCACTGGGAAAGGGCTATGGTGAATTGTTTGGGGTGTGAAGAGTGGAACTTTTCCTGCTACTCTTGGGCAGGAACAGCAATTGGCAAATAGTGCTTTGGTGGAAGGGAATTGTTACTAGATGACCTGCTTATATGGAGATAAGATTGAGTTCAGGTTCAGAAGCATTTGTATTCAAGAACCTTGCAGACAAATGCATGACAAATTCCTAATTAATTTCTGCTAAGCAGGGGTGTTGTAGATAATAGGGCTATATACTCTCTCAGCCCATCTACCTAGGATTTGAAATCTGTTTTACCTTATCGCTTCTGCTAGACATTTGTTTGACCTTTTTCTCTCTTTTTCTCAATTGCTCTTCAGCACTTTACCCGACTCTCCCCCAGACTCCGGATCAGAAGCATACTCCCCCCAGCAGGTGAATGGTAAGTGCTAAGATTAGAGCCCAAGCACCAGCCTTCCCCCCCCTTTGGTTGGCAAAAGTGGTTGACTCTGAAATCTTTATCAGAAAAGGGAAAAACAGACTGCTGCAATACGTGAAGAGATTATCAGTTAGTAAATATTCCTAGACTTTCGCCTATTGTTTTCCCGCTACCCTTTTAGAAAGGTGGTGGGTGGGCAGGACCAAGAACACAAGACTGTGTGGGGAGGGAAAGGTGTACTTCTACCTTCTCAGAGAGGAAAATGGATAAGGGTGACCTGCCCAGTGAGGACACAGAGCAGAAGGTTTAAGCCTCATTTTGTGGGTGAACATGCTGTTAGACTCCTGCAGGTTTATATAAAGACAAGTCTGTGCTGGAAATGAAGAACAAAACAGAGGTACTGTCATGAACTTGCTTTTAGGTGGTGAGTATGCTCTGTGGCTCCTGCCCTCTCTCTGTGTGCTGTATTTGATATCAAGGGACTCTCTTCCAGTTCTTGTGACAGGCACAGAAATCATAGATACATCGCAGAGGGTGGGTCTCTCTCTCTCCTTCTCCCTCTCCCTCCCCACGCCCCTTCACCGGATGGTGTCGGTTCTGTTCTGCCCGTGCTTTATGTATGTGAAAGGGGAGAATCATGTCTCACTAGCTACTTTTGTCTCTTTCTGAGGTTGTGAGGAAACAGAATTAGCAGCAGAGGCAAAAGGATTGAGGGGATGGTCCTGTCTGTGGCAATCTTCAGAGAATTCCCCATGGCCCCTTCTTTTAAAACTTAAGCCTTGTTCATCAGGGAAGCAACTCCTTCTCCTTTCTCTGGGAAAAAGGTCAAGAGTTCTTTTTATCTCGCTACAAAAATCCCTGGAATTCCTCCTGGCTGTTCTTTAAATATAGCCAAGAGGCCAGATTATTTGCCACAGAGTGAACTGCTTTCTCTCAGCATTAAAACAACAGCCTGGTGGGAGAAATAATTGGGACTTCAGATTTTTTGGTAATGCACAAACTCCAGGAAAGTCTGGAGTATGTAGAAAGAGTTGCATCTGTGATCTCATAATTTCTAGAATGCTTTCCTTATTTTGAGGGAGGAGTTCAAATGCCAGGTAACCTTGAGACATGAAAGATGAAATAGCTTTCAATAACGCATTTACTGTGCTGCCTCAGTATTCATTCTGCAGTAGCAGATATTCCATTCAATTTCCAGACAATAAACATTTGGATTTGATGTTGCTCCAGTAGTGCCTACTTAGTGTATTACAAAGCCTAAAATTGTTTGAAAATTGAAATTGTAGTAGGATTACATGTTAATCTAGAGTACAGTTCTGTGACCACACCCTATCTTGAAGTAGTAAAAAAAATTGTTTTTGCTAATTATTTTGTTCGTCTCTTCTGAAACAGCTGCCAGCCAGTGTCATTAATAAATGTTCGGTGGTGTCTGTGTGTTCATGTGTGTGTGTGGAGTGAGGGTTTGTGGGATTTCACCATCCTTTGTCATTTGATGTCATTTCTAAACTTCTTTACCCGTGACTCTAACTTTAGTTCATTAATAAACATGTTTTAATTTCTCCCCAACTTCACTATAAGCTTTTGTGATAGTTTTTTTTAAGAAAAGAAGGTGGGGAGTGCTATATACTACCTCTTTAATTATAATATTTTGTGTTAGCCTCCTCTGTGTTCAGCCCTTCTCCCCAGCTTAATTTCAGAATCATTTTTGCTTCCTCTGTTGATGCATCCTCCCACAGAAGAATCTGATTAATTGCTATGAGCATTAACTATTTCACTCCAGTAACTTTAGAAGGTTAGGAGGGGCAGTAAGTCTGAATTTGTTCAAATGGAATACTGTATTCATTTTCCCAATTCTCTTTGTTGTTTGTTTTTTGTGGGTAGATTTTTTGAGAGAGACCTTTGGATGTTGGGGAGCTGAAGTTAGAGAACAATGACAGCAAGAAACAAGGGCAAGGGATACCTGGAGGATGAATTGAATGTCCTGTTATTCTGCACTAATCATTGTACTATTTAGCACAGATAACAGCTGATCCCAATGATCAAACTCTAGACGTCACAGTTGGGATGAACTTAAAGTTGGGATGAACTCACATTATTTGCCTTTCCTTTGAGCTAAAGTATGTAATGGAGTAGTTTAGGCACCCAATTTATTTTCATGGCACTGCTAGCTAGAAGTTTGGTTCAAGGACACTATTTCATATATGTTTGTTTTGTTTTAGCCTGCCTTACAAAAGCGGTTTAATAAAATGTGCATTAACTCCACTTCGTGTGTGTGTGTACACACAAACACACATACACACATCATGGGATAAACACATACACACACCCATACAAACACATCTGTAAAAATACTTTAATATTGTTTTAACATTTAAGCAGCTTCTTCAATTCTGATCATTTCTAACTATTGCTCCTAAAATGGAAAGTGTATAGTTAAAGGTGCTATTTGATTGCAGGGTGAAGATGGAAGAAGGCCTGAATTGCTGGTCTTTATGAGCCTTAATAATAGTTCCTATTGTTATTGATAGCAATAATAATTAATTGTTATTGATTTTGCTGGCCTCAATAATGTTACAGTGATCAAAATTAACTCCCCTTCTTCCCTTTTGAATCCATGTGCTGGCCACCTGCCATCACACCCTGTACTAGTTGGGGGTGATGGACAGTGTGATCATTTGGGGGGCGCCAGATTGGAGAAGGCTGCACCAGTAAGTTTGGGGAAGAACCAGTATCTATAAGCAGTTTTGTCTCTTTTTACATCCTGAGTTTTCTATAATTCAAGCCACATTAATCCTGGCTTTGAATGAAACCTCTAACAGCTAGAAAATAGAGTTAATAAGAATGTTAGTCCTACACTCTGACAGAGCAAAGCCCTCTGTATACATTTCCAACTTTAAATCAGGCTTCAAAGTTAAGTAAACTTTAGATCTGTTGTACTAAGGAGGCATGTGAACTTGAGTCAAGGGCTTTGGTGAATGTTCTACAGACACTTTCTCCAAATCAGCCTTCTAAATGAGATAGACTACAACTTCCACCTTTCTTGGCCATTAGCTGTTGTAGCTGTGGATGATGGGAGACACCCTATTATGCCAAGCTCTCCCTTAACTGGCAAAATACTATGCTGGCAAAGTTGTCTAGTCTGGATCCAGTAATGTAATTAACTTTACAAGTATTATGAGTGTCACATGTTACAGGCCACTCCTAAAAATTATAAGAAAGAGGATTTGCTGTACTTTTGCTTTTAGCTAACCAAATGGCATGCAGTGAGTATTTATCATTGGAAAGGACAATTTACTCACATGAGTAAAATGGTTCCTGTATGGATGACTTTGAAATTAAACCTTGAACAGGATCCATCAAGCTCATTTCGCAAACATGTTTATTATTTCAAACATATAAAAGCTGAGAGGTTGGCTATAAATTAGTTTCTATTCCAATTTAGTCTAATAAGTATACTCTCTCTTAATATGGATCCTAGTGTATTTTTTATCCAGGATTTCATGCTTTTTCAGCTGAAATTCAATATTGTCTTCAGAGACAATGGACCTTTCTCCGTTACTAAGTTATAGTACTATCCACCCACGTTTGAGTTGGCAGAGAACTACTAACATTAAATTTGCTGTCCCCATTTACAATCCCCATCGTGTCTCAATTCTTAATCACTGCCAGTAACTTAATTTTCCTTCAGTAGATGATGTCAGAATGAGGTGGAAAAGATTACTTTAACATCAATACAGTTAAAGATTACTTCACCTTGTCTCATTCATGGGTTTGGGATGAGAAGAAGGCAGCATCCTGTGGACATGGTAGGAAAAGGTTCCTGGGGCAGAACTGAAAAGAAGAAAATTGTATGATATGTGCAGCTTTGGGGAGAATAAACAGCAAAAATGGAGTGGGAATGGACTTACTTTCAGTAATAAACTGGAGTCTGAATGGTGAATAACTAGAAGGAAACTGGTAGTTAAAATGTATTTCTAGAGAGGGTATTACTAGGAGACCAAAGTAAAAAAACGTAGTTTACTCTCTATTTTATATTAATACACTGAATTTATTTCTGTAAACAAAGTCAAAAATAAATAAAGTCAAAACATAAAAAGAAATAGGCAAATGTCATTATTTCCAGTGATATACAAACATAACTAGCTCTAGCTTTTTCCCTTCATGCTGAAGGATAGCATATCAGACCAGTCATATAACAAATTTATCTGTTTGGCTCTCACCATTCTCAAATTCCTTACTTTGTTCCAGAATGAATGTACTGCTGCCTGATAGTGTTTTTGCTGGAGTTGAACTTGCTAAGTTCCTTATTTTTTATGTTTGTAATGTTGTTGTTGTTCTTTTTGTTTTTGTTTATTCTAGGCTACAAGTTTTGTAATTTAAATATATTTAAGTGCTTTAATTGTTAATAAATTTTGTATACTACACACACACATGCGTGTGCACACACACAGAGACATGCATACAGACATACATGCTTGTGTGCACATATACTAGATGCTTCCTACAATTCTAGCTCATTTGCTAGAAAACTAGAAAAGGGAAATAGCTTTATTTCTCATTAAGTAGTGCAGTTGAACATTCATGACTTACTTTACTAATTGTGTGCATGCACATGCTCTATCTACATCAGGGAGGGCAACCCACAGTCCTTGGGCCATATTCATCCCCTAAGCTGATTTTTTGTGGCTGTGGGACTCCTCAAGATCACACTGCTGAAAGTCAGTGACGAGCTGTCAAGTAACATTAACACAGTTTTATACCAAATAAACATAGCTTCAGTGAGTGTATGTTAAATTTAATAGCCCTATTAATGTTTTTTAAAACATGGGAAAGGGCTGAAATCTGGATATGCTGCTTTATCACCATGCAACTCCAACTGTTGGTGAAATAGCTGATAATCTACTTGTTGTTTTAATGAAAGTTGAAACTATAAGGAAAAGTGCTGGAATGTCTCTATTATTGAACTGCCTTTCTATATTTACAGTATTATTTTGTGCTGTTCTGATTGACAGCAGAGATTGATCATAGTTTAGGACTACTGAAAACGGGGAATCTGCACTTTTCACTCAAATTAATCTTTCTGGTTCTTTTTAGATCCTCACCTTCTTCGAACTATGACTCCTGAGAATATGTGTCAAGTTACTCCCCCCTCACGGTTA